GTCGGTATGGGGGTTGATATGGGGATGTACATAATGGGGTTACAAGTCGACATAACATTTTAATCCTTACGAATTGAGATTTGAAGCTATAAGGCATCCTTTATGGGTGAACATGAACTAGAAGACTACTGCCACGATTTGGGCCAATGTAAGGTCTAATGTGGCAGGGTTAGTCTTCGGGTCAGTCAATGCTCACGGTCAGTCATATGTAGCGCTGGGGCTTTGATCTGAGACTACAGCGACGGCTATTTTGGGAGTGCGGGCCTATATTGAGCTTCGGGTATTCAGACAGAAATGACTCTCATCGTTGCGGAGATTATCTCTCAAAGTATCCGCGTGAAGGGTCGCAAGAATTGAGAATGAAGGCGGCTGCCGATATACATATGTTTCTTTGCGAGCTTCAAAACCTAAAGCTAAGCCGGGGTCATACACCAGAAGCCTAAACCTAGGAGCATTGGTGGAGCTATGGCACTTCGCGGTAGTTCTTGGCGGGGGGGGGGTTAGCCTTTATATATATATATATATATGTTATATTGTATTTATTTACATAGCATTTTATATGTATATACATGTATATACATGTATATACATGTATATACATGTATATACATGTATATACATTTATGCATATTTTTATATATTTATTTAACTTTTTATTCGCATATATATATATATATAGTGTGTATTATATTTTACACATTGTCATCCGGACCTTCAAAATTTTGTGGCACACCCCTGCATTGCAAGCTACAAGACAAACAAGCACATTCGAGCAAAGCCGTTTTAGGGTTTAGGGCTCTTTGTCAGATTATGAAGGGGATCCCGTTTTCTGGAACCCGATAAATCGCCTACACCCTCAACCACTGTGTCAGCTCTGCGCAGATAAGCCTCAAAGAGTTCGGCACCCAATGGAATGACGACGAGGCCGTCGTGGAGGCTGTGAAGATGGCGGGTCGACAAGCTGCAGAGGATCCACCGCACACTTTAGGGATTCAAGACTTAGCATGAGGTTCTAGGGTTTAGGATTTTGAGCTTTGGAGAAGTCAGCTGTCATACCTGGCAGGAGATCGCGCACCGAGAGTTTGAAGCGTCGATCCGCGAGACCTTGTCGGGCTCCCATTTGAACCAGGCCGGGGCTTCTGGAACGTGACGGCATGTCCCATAAGATTTGGGCACTCAAACCCCAAAGGAGCTGTTAAGGTTTAGGATGTATAGGGGCTTGGACGTTGGGGTCCCTTGTACCTTGTGCAGCAGAGGCTGCTGGTCGCACTGGGATTGAAAGTCTTCATCCCGTATACATTCCGTGATCTTTGGCTTTGCAAAACGTTCCGCCATGGTTGTATTCATGCTGGCTTGTTGCGCTTTTCGGCAAGACTGTG